CGCTGGATTAGAAAGTGGCTCTTTTTTTCCCCTGTCTCCTTCAGGATGCAGAGGATCCCAGGGATAGGGTACAAAGGAGGGTGAGAACTCGCCCAAAGCCTGCAAGGAGGTGGCCACGGCCACGGCCACGGGTGCCGGGGCTTTGTCCCAGCGTCCCAGGCCACGTGCAAAGCCGCCGGCGGGGAATTATTAACATTCAGCCGAACCCCGCCGAATAAAGCGAGCTAACACAAATGTTTATTTTCACAGTAGTGAATTATGACTTCAATAGACCAAAATTACAGGCTGCGTGCGTGGAATAGGAAGGCGGCAGCCCCCGCCACCCAAACGCCGCCGGGGGGGACGCGGAGGCTCTGCCCCCTCTGCTGTCCTGGGAGGTGACAGTGCCACCTGCCCGTCCCGACAGCGCTGGAGCGGCTCCTGGGCACCAGGGGCCAGGGCAGGGGGTGTTTGGTGCTGTCCTTCAGCCGCACCCCAAATGAAGGAGAGGTGGGGACAGCTCCCAGCAGGTCCCTGTGACACGCTGGTGGCCTGGCAGGTCACAGGGGCTCGGTCATCGCCAGGCTGGTGGCACTGCTGGGCACTCACAGGAGGGGTTTGTGGTGGTTGGAGGTTTGCACTCGGGTGTGTGACACAGCTGGCCGGGCTGAGAGCGTGGTCACCCCCAGGGCAGGTCCCTGCTCTCCCAGCCTGATCCCGAAGGAGCCCAGAACTCTGGGAATGCTCTTGGGCTGCCTGGCTGATGCCGGGGATCCACAACACCCCGACCTGTGCCGGGAACCGCGTGTCCAGGTGTCCCCAAGCACACGTGGTGCTGGCATTGTGTGTGCCATGCACTGCCAGCCGTGCAGAGCCGGGCTCTGGCGAGGTGGGAGTGCAGCTGGGCCGGGGGGATTTTCCTCTGGTGCTCCTGTGCCACCGGGGCCAAGGCCAAAGGTCCCCGTGGGAATGAGGGCAGCAGGACCTGGAGAAGCACAGCTCCTCTGGGAACCCTCTGGGAGCAAGGGATGGAAAACTGGAGCTGGGGCTGGAGGGGCTGGGTCAGGATTCTGCAGCACCTCCTGCTGTGACCCATCAGCGAGGGGAGCTGGGCTGTGCAGTGACCGTGCAGTGATCATTTGGGGACCGTGTGGTGGCCCCACAGTGGCCATGTGATGGTCATTTAGTGGCCACAGAATGGTCACTCGGTGGCCTTGTGGCGATCATTTACTACCTGTAGAAAGGTCACTCAGTGGCCATGTGATTGGCATTTACTGGCCATGCAGTGGTCACAGGGCCATGCAGTGGTCACAGGGCCATGTAATGGTCACACAGAGCCATGCAGTGATCACACAGTGGCCATGCAGTGGTCACACAGGGCCATGCAGTGGTCACACAGAGGCCATGCAGTGGTCACACAGGGCTATGCAGTGGTCACACAGGGCCATGCAGTGGTCACACAGGGCTATGCAGTGGTCACACAGGGCCATACAGTGGTCACAGGGCCATGCAGTGGTCACACAGGGCTATGCAGTGGTCACACAGGGCCATGCAGTGGTCACAGGGCCATGTAATGGTCACACAGTGGCCATGCAGTGGTCATTTACTGGCCATGCAGTGGTCACGCAGTGTTGGTGCCTCAGCCACGCCAGGACCACGCTCTGGCTGCCCAGTGGCCACGCAGCTGTTCTGTGGCAGCAGAGCCGTGCCGGGTGACTCCTCCTGGCGGAGCCGCCGCTCTCCCAGCCCCTGGGAAGAGGGTGAGGATGAGTAATTCACCCGGCACAGGGCAGTGGCAGAGGGAGGCAGCTGCCAGGCACAGTAATTACACACAGGCAGGGCTGGGGCTCGCAGGGAAATTCAGAGGGAAATTCACAGGGATTGTGTTCCCGAGCAGCAGCGTTGTGGCAGGACTTGGGGAGGGGAAATTTGAACGCTGTCCCCCAGCTGGCACGGGGCACACGGGAAGGGTGTGCCAGGCAGCCAGATGTGCACCCCTGCCCCTCAGCGCTGCCGGGGAGGGTCCCACCGGCACTCAGCTGCCCTTGGAGCCCCAGCGAGGCCCAGCAGGGTGGGGGGCTCTCTAAGGC